CCCCAGAAGCTCCAGGCCGCGTCGTTACCCTCATCGAGCGCTCATACTGGTCCGCCATCCACGACGCGCACGACTCAGCCCCCGACCGCGTCTGGGGCGTCGCCTATCGCATCCGCCCCGACAAGGTCGCCGAGGTCCGCGACTACCTCGACATTCGCGAGATCAACGGCTACACGATCCACTACACGCCCTTCCACCCAGCAGAGTCCGCCCCGTCATCGACCACATCCTCCTCTTCTGCCGCCGCCTCGGCGTCTGGACCTCACACCCCCGCCGCCCCCATCCGCACCCTCGTCTACATAGGCACCCCCGACAACGACCAGTTCACAGGCCCCCAAGACCCGCAGGCCCTCGCCGCGCACATCCGCCGTAGTGTGGGGCCCTCGGGCCTCAACACCGATTACCTCTTCAACCTCGACCAGGCCCTCGACGAGCTGAGCCCCGACAGCGGCGACGATCACATCAGAGACCTCACGCGCCGCGTGCGCGCCATCATCGCCGCCGAAGGGCCCTCCGCCGAAGCCGAGACGAAAGCTGGTGAGCTCGCCAGGACGAACGCAACAAGCACGGAGGAACAGGAGGAGACGGAACACTGATGGGAGGTCACGGGGCCGGGCGGTTCGAAAGAGTCAACTGGATAAAAGGTTGGTTGTTACCGCTAACCTGTCACGACAGCAGCAATGAACCACGGACACCATCCATCATTTTCGTTCTTTTCTCTTCTACTCTCTCTCCTCTCCCTGCTTTGCAGACTCCCTGTTTTGCAGGCCGGTTGGCTCCCCTGATTTCATACGAGACGAGAAGTTCACTTATAGAACAGACGTGCAGATTGCAATGCTAGACCTCCAGAAATTTGACTGGGGACTGCAAAATAAACAACATCAAAGAACTCGTCGTCGTCCCCTCCCGTCATTATCGCATCACCTTGTTCCAAGTCAATTTTGTGCCCATACATGGCGATCATCTCCCCCCACCATACTCGCAAACATACGACAGATAGCAAGCAACATTTCAATGTTGCCGAATGACGGCGCGAGTAAGCAAGAGCACACGGGAAGCGGCGGCAAACATTTCACCATCAAGAAATAAAAAAGGCGGTAGAAGCGAAAGCGAAACACCCCGCCGAAAAATAAAAACCCAAGGCCGTTCAATTCCGTTTGCCAGGCATAAGCCCCCACTCCATTGCTGAGGGACCCGAGCCTTCCTTTGTCACCAGAGTTCTTGTCCATGCGCGCAACACTAGGACCGGGGGTATCTTGTTGTAGCGCCGAAGGGTAGCACCAATTCGCTCGATCGAACCTACGGACACCGGCGCACACGCATCATTTGTCGTTACGGGGAAACGGGATGTCGCCAAATACGCTTAGTAGCCGCCTCCGTTGGGAGGCTGCTGCTGGCCCTGGTAGCCACCACCGTAGCCGCCGGGGGCACCGTAGGGGTCTGAACAATGAGTTAGCAGACAAGCCTGGCTACATGAGCTTGGGGATCGCGCTTACCCTGGCCGGGGGGAGGAGCGCCGTAGCCCTGCTGAGGAGGAGCGTAACCGCGACCGCCGCCGTAGCCCTGCTGGTACGGGTTGGGGTTGGAGCCGTATCCGTGCTGGGGAGGGCCGCCGTAGCCGCCGCCACCACCATAACCACCACGACCACCGTATCCGCCGCCGCCGCCGCCACGACCGAAGCCGCCGCCGCCGCCGCGGGACCGTTGTCGGAAGCGCGGTCCAT